TTCAGAAATTAAAAACAATTTTCTGGCCGTTCTCTCCTCTTATACTTATTCAGATCCTGACAACAAAAGTCAGGAACAGACAGTTCTAAGGAGAAGTTCCATTGCCAGAAAGCTAGATATAGATAAAATTTTTATTTACACATTCTCTAACATGACATTTCTGTCGTGTTATCTAATTTTATTTTTTTCTTCACTAACGAACACATTGTTAACTGGCTTGAATCCAGGGAGTGTCTGATTGAGGTTTGAACCTCATCTCTTCGAGCACACGTAGTAATTTCCATTTTTGTCTCGTTAAATCCACAATACCTGGGGTTTTAGAAATCACCTGTGTCAGCACATTTGTTCTTTTTTTCATAAAATAAAATAGTCAGGAAATTGTACAGACTTTGCCACATAGACAAAAGACACATTGGAACATTGTTGGTTGACAGGTCGTATAGCTAACAATGTTAATATATCAGCCCACGGGAAAAATTTTAGTCTTGGGACCCCATGGACTGTATCTTGCCAGGTGCCTCTGTCTGTGGGATTCTCCAGGCAAGAATAGTGGAGTGGGTTGCCATTTCCTCCTCCAGGGGATCTTTCCGACCCAGGAATCGAACCCAGGTCTCCTGCATTGTAGGCAGACTCTTTACTGACTAAGCTATGAGGGAAGCCCCCAAAGTGCAAGTATTAGTCACTCAGTCGTGTCCGACTCTTTGCAACCCCATGGTATGTCCTTGGAATTCTCCGGGCAAGAATACTGGAGTGGGTTGCCATTTCCTCCTCCAGGGGATCTTCCCTACCCAGGGATCGAACTCAGGTCTCACACATTGCTGCCAGAGTCTTTACCGACTGAGCCACCAGGGAAGCGAGAACAATAATACTCACCTTCCAGTTGCTGTGAAAGTTACATATGTATGCAAGTATCAGCGCAGCATGTGACACATACAGTAAGTGCTCGTGGAGTACTTCTAGTGGTTTTAGAGATGTTATATTTAGCAGTTCTTACACACCACCCATTTCCCGAGATTGTGTCATTCCCCATCAGTATCCCACAGTAAAACTTAAAAAGGGTGGATGGGCAATTTGAGAGTCACTGAATAAAGATTCAAGGAATTAGAATGTTAATACTGGCAAGAGCCCTGAGAGAGCTCAGCCTCTATCCTGCTTATTTTTCAGAGGGATAGATCTAGAGACCTTGAGAGATCAAATGATTTGCCTAAGGCTACAAACCAGAATGGTAAAAGTCTTCTGGTGATGCCCAGCCCAATTCTTTTTCAACGTAACTTTTCTCTAAAACAAAGTTCATCTTTTGCAGTTGGTACAAGTTTCTCCGCACATTCCTGCATTCTCTCTGTAAAAGGAGAAACCGGGTGAGGGATGGGTCAGGGAAACTATGCCTTGAAGAGTTTCTTCCCTCCCTTGGTATGTAAACATAGTAACAGGACTGGGCTGATTCCTATCGCAGAGCAGGGGCTCATGAATACATCCAGTTGGGGATTGTGGTAAATGATAAGGAAGTTCAAGGAACAGTCCTTTATCCTCAGGAGGCTTTAAAGCAATTAAAACAACTTTAAGTTCACTTAAAAACCAAACATGGGCTGTAAAAATGTGTGTCAGGGCTTAAAACAAGAATGCATTTTAATAGCATTGTCTTATTTTCATTACCTCAACCTTTGGGGATTATAACTGTTATTACTTCTGTTATGTATACATGGAAACTAAGATTTAAGTAGTTTTTGTGACTTGCCCAAAGTTAAACAGCTAATGAGCAGAAAAACTGGGTTTGGATTCAGGTCTGTAACTCCCACCCCCAGGCTCTTCATCAGATGCTCACAAGGTGTTGATGCATTTCCACTCTAATCTGTTTCTGAGCTCATTTGTTTGGGTACAAAGAAAGATGAAACAGAAGGGATATATTGTGGAACAATTTGAAGGCACTTGATATTTAATTAATTAGCTCAGCCATTCATTCATTCATCTCTGTTTCTTCACTGTCTTAAGCGTTTGGACTCTAAGGCCAGACTGCCTGGTTTTGAATCCTGCCTCTACCACTTACGAGCTAAGCGGGTGACTTACCTTCTCTATGCCTCAGTTTTTTCATCAATATACTGGAAATAACAGTGCCTACATTATGAGTTGTTGAATTCATTTGTAAAAGCATTTAGAACTACTGCTGCATACTAAGAACCTTATAATCATCCTGATGTTGCTCCTGCTGCCAAGAGATGTGTTTGGTGATCTGTGTTTAAAAAATCAGGAGTCCTGGGATCTGGTTTAGCTGTGCTCCCAAGATCCATGTGACCACGGGTAGATATTTGTCACCTGAGAACCTCATTTTTTTTACCTGCAAAAGGAAAGGCGTTGACTCTATGATCTCTCAAGTCTTTCTACCTTCAAGTTTCAAGTTCTGAGGGGTCCTCCCTCTCTTTTCATCACAAATATGGGAACCCATCTTAATAGCATAGTCTTTATAGCTGGAAGCTCATTTAAAAAAATGATCCTTTTTCACTCTTAACAGATCAGGAAAGAGAGGCTGATGCCTTTTCTTTTTTTCCTAGTCTTTTCTTTTCCTTTTAAAAAATTGAAGTATAGTTGCTGTTGACTGTATTCCCTGTGTTGTACAATATAGCCTTGTAGCTTATCTTATACCTAATAGTTTATACCTCTTACTCCCCAACCTGTATGCTGGCCCTCCGCTGCCTCCCTCTCCCCCCTGATAACCATTAGCTTGTTCTCTGTATCTGTGAATCTGCTTCTTTTTTGTTATTTTCACTAGTTTGTTGTATTTTTTAGATTCCACATGTGAGTGATATCATACGATATTTGTCTTTGTCTGTCTGACTTACTGCACTTCACATAATGCCCTTGAAATCCATCCATGTTGCTGCACGTGGTAAAATTTCATTCTTTTCTATGGCTGAATAGAAGGAAAGGAAGCTTGTACCATTTCTACATATATTTCTCTAAGTGTGATCCTTAGACAATCCGCTTTAGAATCACCTGGGTTGCTGTTAGAAATACAGATGCCTGGGCTTCAACATATCCACTGAGGCAGAACTTCTGGAGGTGGAGCCTGGATAATTGCCTGTTTAGTAAGGATTCCAAGTGACTCCTATGGCAACTGATGTTTGAGAACTACTGAAGAAGGGGAGAGATGAAAAAGAGTGCCAACTTTGCATGAGATAAACTATAGTAGGGTTCTCAAACTTGAATGTGCACTTAGGTTAGTTGAGGATCTGATTTAAAAGTGCAGATTCAGATTCAGGTAGAATGAAGTGGGGCTAAAGAGTCTGCATTTCTTACAAACTTCCAGGTGAGGCTGAAGCTGCTGGTGCATAGACCAATTTTAGAGGCTAGACTTCCTAGCTCCATTCATGAGTTGTGTGACTTAGGAAAAATACCTAAATTCTCTCAGCCCCAGATTCTTCATAAAGGGGGAGAAAGAAGTGCTTGCATCAGAAGTTTGTTAGCTGGATTACATAAATTATATATATATATACAGCTGCTTATCACAGCACCAAGCATATCAGCAGTTACAAATATATCTCTAGCTCTATCTGTATATCTATGTATCTGAATACTATAATAACAAAAGTTCCATTGATTTAGACTCTTTAGGGAATGAGATGCCTAAGACGTGCATTTTAAACAGATCTGTAGGTAACCCTTATGTCCAAGAAAGTTGATAACCCCTTTGTCTGTGTCAAGGACAGAAAAATCCCTAACCTAATTCTGAGCTCTCCAAATCCCACAGGCATTGGTTTGAAAATGTTTTATTTAGGAAGCCATGTGGTAAAGTTTTCAATAGAACTGTTGCTCCCCAAACAGCACAAGTAATGAGAGTTTTTTGAGTTAACTTTCATTGCTTTCTGATCAAATGTACATTGGAAGACTCCTGCTTCTCCTTAGGATGTCAGAAATGGACACAACTCATCAAATGCATGAACGGGACAATCTAACTCTTACTAGATAGGTATGGATGACAGGAGATAAATGGGAAGGGGTGCGGGGGATGGAATGCCAAATCATAGGCTCAGAGCTCTTGACGGTGACCAAAGTTCCTCTGGGAGAGAGATCCATTTACACAGCAAACCATTTCCCTTTGCACATGGAGCCTCTGGCTGTATCCTGACCTGGATTTAGAATCTGAAGTTTTCATTTATTGAGTTTGGGAAATGCAATTCAACAAATCTTTATTGAGCATCCATCATGCCAGGAGCTGTGCTAGGTGCAAGGACACAACACTGGTAAGACAGTTAACATCCCTGTGAGGGTAAGTGGCAGGACATAAGTATATAATGAAACAAATGAATAAATATGACCATTTTAGATTCCAATGAGGGCTCTGAAGGAAATAAGCAGAGAAATATAAAAGAGACAGAGAGAGACTGTTGTTTGAAAAAGTTAGGAAAGACTTAAGGAGGTGGTAATTTATTAAGGCTCATAGCATGAGCATGAATTGGCCCCTCAAAGAGGAGAGGAAGAACATTCCAGGAAGAAGGAACAGTGTGTGTGAAGACTGTAAAGAAGTCAAAGAACTTGGCTTGTTGTAATAGCTGGAAAAAAAACATGGTTAGGGAATGTATATATGTGTGTGTGTGTGTGTGTGTGCGTGTGTGTGTGTGTGTCTGTGGTGGAGAAGTGGCCCCAAATGAGACTGAAGAGATGACTAAGAAGAATAGATAATACTTTTTGAGGACTTTTGTGTGCCAGGCCCTGTTCTAAGTGCTTTACCTGTAATAATTCCTTGATGCCCATAACAGGAACACTTTTCATGTCCATTTCATAGATGGTGAAACTGAAGCAAAGAATAATTAATTAGGGTCAAAGTCAAGCAGGACCTAATCTACTGACAGTTTGCAGTGTCTGTTCCCTGAAAAATGTGAGATCAGAAAGCCTAATTTGGGGACCATTGCTCTCATGCCTTGTTTTTTCTAGGCACCTCTCCTCACCCTTTAATTATTACCTTCTCACTCTCTATTTTTATCTTCCCATTCCCACCCCCCACCTAGTTACACAGAATATTAGAAAGGAGAAGTTGAAAGCCTGGAAACTGTGGAAGTGGGGATTCTTCTACTTTTGGACTACCAAGCATAACGAGTTAAGTGTTATTATTAATTTTTCTCTTCACTTATAATGATATAAAATAAATATTCATTAAGTGCAGTGTTGCACAGTGGTTAGGGTTAGGAATCAGGTGCAACAGATTTGAATGTCAGCTCCCTTATTCATTATATATCCTGGGGCCTAAGAACCTATCAGTAATAAGAAACATCATTAAGGTAATAAAGATGGGTCACAGAAAATGTACTACATTAAAAATATACAACCATTATGAGATTATCTTTATTCCAGAGATGTTAAAATCAAGGAAATAGGGTGGGACAGTGGGGGTGATTTCTCCAAACTTCAGATGTTTTATCTACAAAGTGGGTGCAAGGACCCCTACCCTGCTGGGTTAATGTGGACAGGTCTAGATTTGTGAGCACAGGCAGACTGAATATGTTCTCAAGGTACCAGAGAAGAAGGAAAAGAAATGTGAAAAGTTCAGCTTTGATTAATGAATTCTGAATTTTGCAATGACACATCAAGAAAGAAGCTATTTTAATTTCAAAATGCATGCAGGCTTTTAAATTTTGTTTTGCCACGTGTAGTTATTTTTATGTTGAATATAGTTGAGGAAGTGCACTGTCATCTTTCCTGTGACCAAGTCTTTTGAAAGTCTTATCTGAACCCAGCTAGGGGTAGTGAATGAAATAATGCATAGTGAGTGATCAGCACAGTGCCCAGCACATAGCAAGGGCTTTGCATATGCAGTTTTTTCATCATTATTCCTCCACATTAGACAGTGGGTTCTCCACTAGGGTGTCATGAAGAACCATGACTGGGGTGACCATAAAATTGTCACCCAAACTGAGACAATTTTGAGAGTGCAGAAAAGTACCATTATTCAGTTCAGCTCAGTTAGGTCGCTCAGTCGTGTCCAACTCTTTGCGACCCCATGAACCGCAGCACGCCAGGCCTCCCTGTCCATCACCAACTCCTGGAGTTCACCCAAACCCATGTCCACTGAGTCGGTGATGCCATCCAACCATCTCATTCTGTTGTCCCCTTCTCCTCCTGCCCTCAATTTTTCCTAGCATCAGGGTCTTTTCAAATGAGTCAGCTATTTGCATCAGGTGGCCAAATTATTGGAGTTAATTAAATAGTAATGGGTATAAACTGAAACTATCCCTGGTAAACCAGGATGTATGGTTTCTGTAGCCACAAAGCTCAGATGCTATTTTCCAGAAATTTACTGGCTACTGGAGAGATATTAACAAATTCATTGCCCTACATTTCATGAGGTTCAAAGTCTATCTACCTACATGGACCTACATGGACAATAATCTTCCTACATAAGAATTCTTTTTTGTTTTTTAACTGACATCAAAGTTTCACATATTGGAAGATTTTGGTTTGTGCATGTAGTTTTATAGTAAAATTTTTCTTTGCAGAAACTTCAGCAAGCCATGGGTATACCATTCTGTATGATGTAACAAATTCTTTCCCATCTAGGGAGAAAAGACTTTCATTCTAAATCACAATGTCACAAGGAGAAGAAAGTCAATTAATTTCAGACTCTGATAACCTGGGATTTGTACTAACTCAGGCAAAGGCTGGGACTTGTCTTTTCTTTTGCTTTAGCTGTTGGTAAATTAATTTCTCAAAACTTATTTTTCTTTCATGTGCATGAAGTAGAAGCCTGGATGTGAGGTTTAGAGGGAGTTAAAATTGCAATGATGATACTAGCTGATGTATTTTGAGTGCTTACTATGTCTCAAGTACTGGGTTAAGCTTTTCATGTGTATTGATTTATCTTAATTCTCACCTCAGCCCTATGAAGTTGGTACATGAAGAAATTGAGGCTTTGAGAGGTTTGCTTAATTTTGTACAGTTAGGAAAATGATGGAACCATGAAACAAATTACTATTCTCTACCATATCTCAAGAAAACTAAAATATTTTACCTACATTTAATTTATGTAAGAGGTTATCCAGGGAATGCTGAAGAAATAAAACATTGCGTCTCAAAATTTATCTTCACCATGAAGCCCACAGCACCTTGTAGATATAACATATAATTATAAATGTTCATTTTTGCCTTTGCTCTAGACTTTGAGCACCTTGTAATTATATGCAAATCTGTAGATATGGAAATCTCTCAATTTCCTCATGTACCAGCTTTATATATTTGGTGTCTAGCACATTGCCTGGAACTCATACTAGTGCTCATTACTTTGTTTACTGGATGATATGTATTATTGAATATTTACTGTAGGCCCTGTGTCCGCCTGCAATGTGGGAGACCTGGGTTTAATCCCTGGGTTGGGAAGATTTCTTGAAGAAGTGTATAGCTACCCACTCCAGTATTCTGGCCTGGAGAATTCCATGGATTGTATTGTCCATGGGGTCACAAAGAGTCAGACACGACTAAGCAATTTTCACTTCACTGTGTATGTCAGACTCTGCTAAGTGTGGGGATAAGCAGTGAAGAAGATCTGCCTGGCTCTTGTTTGAATCAAGCTACCACCTGGCTCTTGTTTGAATCAAGCTTGTTAGCCCACACCCCTAATGTATCATTGTTCAATGAATAGTCACAGGAAGAAGAAATTGAGCCACAAACCTTGAAGAGTCTTAAATTCTAACATGCCTCAGAGTCCCAGGCAAGATAGAGCCCTCAGTTGAGGATAAGTGGGAAAGGTGAGCTATTGACTAGGTGGATAAGAGTAATGTAATTTTTTTTTCTGACTCCAGGGTATATACAAATCATCTGAGGTACATGTGGAAAATGCTGATTCCAGGCACTGCTTTTAGAAGATGTGATTTAGAGAGTCTGGAGGACACAAGATAGTTTATTCATTTACTCAACATATATTTCTTGAGATCCTACTATGTGCCAGTCACTGTCTTGGACCCTGAGGTTCAGCAGTTAATAGGATAGATATGTTCTTACCTGTAAGGAGCTAACATCTCAGTGTAATCTTTATCAGAGAAGATAAAGGTGAATAAATAAGGCCATTCCCAATTGGGAAGAATACTATGAAGTAGACAATGGGTTGAAGACCGGACTGCAGGAAGGGTAACGGGTTAGTTTATGCTTAGGGGTCAGATGAGGCCTCTGTGAAGGACTACATTAGAGTTGATTCTTGAAGCATGAGAATGAACCAGCTATGCACAAAACTGGGAAAGGAGGTTCTAGGTAAAGGTTCTGTGGGATTACCATGTTCAAGGAACAAAAAGGAGACCAATATTGGACTAATGAACTACAAGATGAGGTCAGAGAGTCAGGCAGGAGCCAGATTATATAACACCTTGTAGGCCATGATGGTGAGTTTGGATTTTATCCTAAGAGCAGTGTGAAGCTTTAGAAAGTACTAAAGCAGCAGAAAGCTGTCATCCTTAGACTACACTTTGAGAAGCACTGATAGTGTGGCTTGGCTTCAGGGAAACTCACTTGATCACCTCCCCGTCATTTTCTGTACTCAGAGTAGCTATCATGTGCAGTGCTGGTCATCTTTCTCTGTCACTGTTATTACCTGAGGGCTGTGTGAACACATTTGGCTGAGGCGCCATGACAGACAGTTGACACAGTCACCTCATAAAATGTTCATAGCTGATTAAGGGGTATATGCTCCTTCAGAGGCCTGGGTGTCCGGAAGAGAGAAAGAACAGCTGTTTCCTCTGCCCTCGTTAAGGACTTAAGCCTTCTTCATATTAAAGAGCTTCCATAAACAAAATCAGAGATTACTGGATGTTCCCACAAAAATGGTGTAACTGAGAGGCGTCTATATAAAGGGGACTCTTGATGTTGGCAAATGGCATGATCCAGAGGCCTGAGGGGGAGGGGTAGGGATAGGGGTTCTAGGGCAGAGGGCCAGGTCAAATTACCAAGCTGCATGGGATTGTCCTTTCTGGATTAATTTTGTTCTTGAAGATGAATCCTGAACCTAAGGAAGTGGTCATAATAGTGTATGTTTCCCAGGCTCCACCTCTGACTTCTGATCCAGCAGTCTGAGTTTATTATCATGAGGCTTTCCTGGTGGCTCAGACAGTAAAGAATCTGCCTGCAGTGCAGGAGACCCAGGTTCGATCCCTGGGTAGGGAAGATCCCCTGGAGAAGAAAATGGCTACCCACTCCAGTATTCTTACCTGGAAATCCCATGGACAGAGGAGCCTGGCGGGCTGCAGTCCCTCGGGCCTCAAAGAGTTGGACACGACTAAGTGGCTAACACTTATTCTTCATGGTGGTGTCTTCTCCCTGGGCAGCTCTGAGTCACTCTTGAATTAGGGATGCACCTTGACTTATTTCCCCCAGGTGGCAGCACACTTTTCTTTTTGGGTTTTTCTTGCCTTGGGGAGCATCTTTATCTTATACCTCACAAACGCAAGATTCCTGAGAAATTTTGGAATTTTCTAGAGAACTCAGGTGATACTAGATGTTACTTCCTAACAAGTTCTCTGTAATGTTGGATTATATATCCTTGAGACCCAGGCTAGCCCTCCATCCTCTTCTCTGAGGCCTCTTCTTCTTCTTCTTTGGCCTCCATGCTTATAAGATGTGATCCTTGTCTTCCTGGCCAAGGCTGACAGGATGAAATACGAACACCCAAGTCAATGTGGGCCAGATAGGTTCTCTATCCTGAAAGGTTAAAGTGAAGATACAGAGATTCCATTCATTCCTAGCTGGTTGCTAGAATCAAAGATGAGAAACTCTAGATCTGTGCTGTATAGTTTCTGCCACTAAACAGTGGTCATTTGAAAGTGGCCGGTCCAAATTGAGATACTGTGTAAGTCTAAATTAACTACACATTAGAGTTCAAAGACTTGATATGAGGAAAAAGTTTATCATGTTAAAAACTTTTATGTTGATCAAGTTAAATTGTATTTTGTATATATTGATGAAAAGTATATTTAAAAATGATTTTACCTTTTAAACTTATTTTTAATATATCTGCTAAAACTTTTTAAATTACACTTGTGATGAACATTATATTTCTATTGGAAAGTATTGCTCTTGATCTTGTCATATGTGTCTGGAGAAAGAGAGAAAACTGATCCATAGGGAAAGAATAATGAAGCAGATGCTCAGAGAGATGCAGATACAAATAAACATGTGGTTCTAGGAGGACAGAGAAATATTGAGAGAGAAAAAGGGAAGGAGGGAGGAAAGGAGAAGAAGAGGTGGGGCTGAAGGTGGACTAGAAAGGGTCAGAGATGGAGAATCAGAAAAAGACAAAGAAAGGAACAGGGAAAGTCTGCCTGGGTTCCTGCTGACAGTTCAGTTCTTGGTTTCAGCTCTTGGAGAGGCTGTCAGCATTTCCATTCATTTGGTTCTAAGATATATCTTCATGTTCTTTTAATAGAATAACCTTTTTGGCTTACGTCTATTTGAGCTTACTTGCAATGAGAAGACATACTTCTGAAATATAGCTATCTGTCTTATTGATTGCTGAAACACAGGGATAAGGTGTGAGTATAGATACTATGATATAGTATAAGATGATGAACAGCTAGCACATTTGCTACCAGTGTCTTATCCATGTCATGCTGGACATTGCTTGTCAATCACAACCCCAGGCATACCTTTAGAATCCTTTCCAATGATAAGTAGCTGGTTGTACTATGCTGTGCTTAGTTGCTTAGTCATGTCCAACTCTTTGTGACCCCATGGACTCTAGCCCACCAGGCACCTCTGTCCATGGGGATTCTTCAGGCCAGAGTACTGGAGTGGATGCCATGCCCTCCTCCAGGGGATCTTCCCAACCCAGGGATCAAATGGTCTCCTGCATTGCAGGTGGATTCTTTACCATCTGAGCCACCAGGGAAGCCCAAGAATACTGGAATGGGTTGCCATTCCCTTCTCCAGGGGATCTTCCTGACCTAGGAATCGAACCAGGGTCTCCTGCATTGCAGGTGGATTCTTTACTAGCTGAGCTACCAGGGAAGCCCAGGTATCTGGTTAGCCACCCTCAATAGACTAAAAATGACATATGAAGATAATCCTATTTGTTATTCTTGAGAAAAATCACTGAAGTAAAAGCCTGAGGAGACACAAATTTTGGGGCCAGTTGAAACATAAACTGTTTTTTTTTTTTTAAGTCATTTCCTTTATCTAAGCCTCAGTTGCTGTGTCTATAAAATGACTAATGGTAGTACCTACCCACAGAGTTGTTGTGAGATATGGGTATAATAATAGACATTGTAGCCCTTGGGCTTCCATGGTAGCTCAGCTGGTAAAAAAATCCACTTGCAATGCGGGACACCTGGGTTCAATCCCTGGGTTGGGAAGATCCCCTGGAGAAGGGCATGGCAACACACTCTGTTATTCTTGCCTGGAGAATCCCTGTGGACAGAGGAGCCTGGCAGATGACAGGGGTCACAAAGAGTTGGACATAACTGAGTGACTATGCACACAGCACAGACTTTAGACGTAAAAACACAAATGTGAATTGGTGTTCTGACCAAGGCCCTCAGTTATTCAGAGCCAGTCAGAGTCTCTCCTCCTCTGCCCTCAGCCTCAAGACATGTTTGTAGTAGAGGGGCACAGGGTTTTTAAAACAATTCCTAGTAACCATCATACATGAAATGGAGTTGTTTTCAGAAGCCAGCCAAAGCCCATCAATTTCAGGTCTTCTTATTTTATCGTGTTTTATTTTTATTTTCTGTACATAGGAAGTTGACACTAAGAGGCAGTACTGACAAGAGAGATTTTGGAAAATGACTCATCTGGAATTTGCTAGAGTTGCCTGAAATTGGTAGAACTTCAGCCTTTGAGAGAAAAAAAAAGGAGGTGTCTCTGTGTGTGTGTATGAGAGAGAGAGAGAGAGACAGAGAGACACACAGAGAGAGAAACTAATTTATCTTCCCCAGTGCTGTTCTGTCCCTGAAGCATCTAGAAAGCAGTTCTCAGGGAGCAAGAGCATAGTATGACTGAGTCTGGGCCTAATGCATGTGGTGTTTCTTCTTGCATTGTTAAAGTGTGTTGAAGAGACAGAGCTGTGGATTCAGGCTAATGAAATCTACTCATAGTTACGACAGAAATGTGGAACAGAATTCGTACTTTGTGACTCTGTGAAGACCTGGGCCATGAGGCAGGGAGAAGTGAATTCCAGAGCTATTATGAGGAAGGATGAGCTCTTCTCATCTCCAGAAATAACAGTGCAGAATGTCAGAACGGAAAAGGAAGTCAGTGACCACGCAGTCCTCCTGCTTATTTTAGAAATGAGGAAACTGAGGTTCAGAAAGGTTAAGTGATTTGCCTAAGATCATGCAGAATCAGTGACAGAGCCAGGGATATCACTTAAGTGTCCTGTTCTATTGTTTATCCACGATTCCCTCACTGCTCTGTGGTCCTGATGACAAGTCCTGTCCAACTGTTGCCCATGGCTTTCAGGTTAGGTCTCACAGGATGCGTCCTCCTCCTCTGCTTTTGCTTATCTTGCCTGCAAAGAGAGAATTAAGGTCCCAGTTCAAGTGTCATTTCTGACTCCTCTCTTTCATCAGTCATTGTCATCAGTCCACTCTTCAATTTCCCATCAGACTGTTTTTCTCACAACTCTACTTGACAGTTCATCCCTCCTCCTCTCCAGAGCCTCGGCAGTCCTCCAACTCTCCTAGGATGGGTGGTGCAGAGGATCACATCCCTGGGCCACAGTGATGTCTCCAGGGTTGTGTATGTGACCTCAGCTGAGTCAATGACACTCACTCCTGGAACTTAGCAAAGGGCTATTCTTTTTCCTAGGGAGCTGTAAGCTCACAGACTATAAGCCTGGTAGGCAACCTGAGATCCTGCTGGAGAACAAAGCAGCATAGTGAGAATTCAGGGACTTAACTACATCAGCCAATGCTTTCACGTTTTGCTTAAGCCAATTTGAGTTGGATTTCTGAGAATTTATAACCAAATAATTCTGCAATACTTCTAATATACCAATAGATCAGTATTTTCTCAAATTTGTTCCTAGACTATCCATTACTTTGATAAATATTGAGTATCTATCTTTAAGTATAGGTAACAAAGATCAATAAAGATGAGTAGGACATAGTCCTTGAATTCAGCTGCTCTTTATTCTAGCAGGGGAGCGAAGACTCTCTGCTAGAATACTTAAGTGTTAGACACTTAAGTACTTGTGTCTAACATACAAAGTAGTAGGTGAAAGTGGCCTGAGGGAGATGCATACAGTATGCTGTGGAGGTGTGAAGGAGAAGAGTTCACACAAATGGAAAGCAGAATAAGACATTTCTTACAGTGTATAGGATTTGAGATAAAACTTGGAGATTGGGGAGGAACAAGAAGAATCCCAGACAAAGAGACCAACATAAACTAAAATGTAGAAATGGAATCTTTCTAGACACAAAAGGGAAGTAAATACAAACTCTAGATTACTCAGAGTAGGTATTTCAAAAGGTCAAGTGTTTGAAAATTCAATTTGTTGTGTCAAATATGACAAAATGTTGTCATATTAACATTATATTAATGCCATTCCACCAAGGAAAGATTAGGACCATATCTATCTGGTAAACAGATAAATCTTCAAAACATTAAAATTTTTGAATGAATGTTTACCCCTTTCTTCCTTTACACAGAAACCCCATGAAGGCAGGGAACATATTCTTGGTCTCCATTTTATCCTCAACTCCTGGAGCAGTGTCTGGCAGAGTGAATGCTCAATAAATATTGTTGAAAAGATTAATGAATATATGGAAGGCTTTTAATGTCAGACCAAGGGCTTTTCATACCTAAAAATTTTAAGGAAAACCCAATATTTAAAGAGCACCAACTATGTGTCATCCACTCTACAGATGTGTGACATGATCAGGGTTGTGTTTTAGGAAGAGAGACTGGATAGAGTGAAGACGAAGAAGAGACATGGGAGTATTTACTCATATTGAAACTTATCTGAGCCTGATCATGAAGGTAGTGTTGTTAGAGCAGAAAGCAGAGGACAACTGTAAAAGTAAAATGGCAGATTTCTTACAGTCTCAGAAAAGTTGGGAAGAGGATCTGAGGGTTGGTGGGGCAAAATGTATTTTCCTAAGATGATCACAACAGAATCTTCTATCCAACCACATCAAAATAGAGCCTAATTCCCCTACTCTTGACTTGCAGTGGGCTTATCATTCAGTTGCAACTAAAAGAATATGGTAGAAGTGACACATACAACTTCTCATGGGTAACCATAAAAAGCGACCCAACTTCTGCCATGCTGTCTGGAGTGATTTCACCTTTGACATCTTCAGTCACCATGTAAAGAGCCTGACTGTCCAGAGGTTGCCATACTCTAAGAAAGCCCAAACTTTTCCCTATGGAAAGATCACAAAGAGACCCTAAGACCACACTCAGAGAGAGATACATACACTGGAACAGGGGTGCAGCCCCTCACTTACTGTTCCAGCACTATCAAGATACACCAGAGAAGAACCACTCAGCTAAACCCTACCTGAATTCCTGACCTACAGAAACTGTGACAAATAATAGGTATATTTGGTTTTAGTCATTCTGAGTATACGTAAGTATCCTGCAGGCATGATATCCAGCTGTCTGCTGGGAGTATGGATCTGGCATTGGAGTGTTTGAAGAGATGTGAAGCTATAAAAAGTAGGAATAGGTAAGTTGTCAAAGGAGATAATGTGGCCAGGATAGAGGACCCACATCACTTTTTTAAATGAGGAAGAGGAGTTGGGGTAGAATAAAGAGATATTATTAGATCATGACATAATTATTATTTGGTTCATATGCTTGTTTTCTGACTTCTCTGACTAGACTATTAGATCTATAAGATCAATGATCAAGTCTGGTTTTGTTGCATTAATAAGGTCATTAGTTTAGTTTGCAACAGTAGCAAACTACCCCATAATCTCAGTGTTTTTCAGCAACAAACACTTCCTTTTTACCCTTGTAATACTCATGTTCTACTGTAGGTCAGCAGTGGCTGTGTTCCAGACAGCCATCTGCTCCATGTACTTTCTCATTCCAGGATTCAGTGGAGAGAACAGTCTTTATCTGGGACATGCTGTTATTAGGATGTGCAAGAGGTCTGCAGAAACTGGTGATACTTCTGAAAGCTTCTGCCTGAATGTGGTGTGTGTCACGCCTGCTCCCATTCCTTTGGCTAGGGCTTGACACTTGGCCAACCCGAAAGCAACCTCCAGGAAACACAGCAAATACATTGTGCTGAGTGAATGTGCAACCCTCTTACAGAGATGTGGGCCAGGGGTGAAAGACTGCAAACCATAACTTACCCCTCCCACCAAGGTAACCCTCATACTTAGCACAATCCCTGGCACCTAATAGGTGCTTGCACATATTTGTTGAACGAATGAATGGTTGGACATGATCAGGGAGGCAAGAGGAGATAAAAAAAATAGGCAGTGTTCAGAAACTCAAGGAAGATTTGACCTCACAATTTCAGAAAGAATTTGAAAGCAGAAAACAATAGACTTTATGAATCCAGTGAGCTCATATAAGTGGACTATACATAAAAGTGGACTATCTGTTTTCATGTAAAATTTCATAGACACCTGACGCAGGTGTGGATCCTGCAAGAGAATTCATTTGCCCAAAGTTCCAGGACACTTCTACTCTGCATCCTTGCTGCCCACCCTTCCTTGATTGCTGGTTCATTGGAAATGAATGCTAGTTCTCCTTGAAATGGGAGCTATGTGAGCTTAAGATGCAAATGCTCAGTGCACCTAGAATTATGTGCTGGGAAAGAAGTCATTCTCTACATCTTTTGCTTGGAACAAGATTGGGTCATGCTCTAAGAGAGCACAGAGAGGTCATTGCAAAACTAGCTGTGGATACAAAGGGGTTTCAGACTGAGGGAGAAAAGGAAGTGGGAGTTGTTTCTGTAAACAACACAATGAATGAGAATGCTGCTGTGTTTTAATTTAGAGATATCAATGCAAGCCATGCTTGTTAGCTTTTTTAAAAAATTTTAATTCAAACTAATGAAAAATTGAAAGGAAATGAGATGTTCCATAAGATTTAGCCAAACTGAATAGGTCTTGTGGAATCTGACTGAAAAATTAGTTATGGATAGCTTTTGGCAAAAGCCACTATTGAGATTAAAACACTGCCTGCCTATTCCTAAAATTTGGTGGTGTGCACCATGAGGCCCCTGGTGGGCTGTTGCAAGGTTTCCTGTTGTTGTCCTGTTTATAATTAACATAGAAGATAAAAAAAATTTAAGTATAACTGTAGCGTATGAGATGTGCTCAGTTGGGGTTTTTTTTGGCCAATGTACCAAAAATCAAACAGTGAAGACAGAAAATTTTAAGTTAGATTTTGAAATTATTTGTGTGTCTATGTAGTATATATGTATGCATGGGTGTTGATGTGTGTATGTACATATGGAAATGGCAAAGAGATACAACAATATGTGATTTAGAAACCACGAGAAAAGCAAAAGCAACTACTGAATGCTTATAATACCTTTTTTTTTTGCATAAGTATCACCTGTGAATTTGTCTATTGTCACTATCTGAAACTGTTTTAGGTAATGAATTCTGATCCCCTAAGTGTCTGGGCTTAACCTTATCTTGAAGCCTCAGTGTGAGTAGAAGGGAGAAATTGGAGCTTACTTTTCTTTTCCTTCTAGCCAATGGGTAGTTTGATAGAATTTCGTGTTAATGCAGCAAGAGCCTGTGGATTAAATCCAGTTAGTTTTGTTCTGTCATTTAGATTCCATACATCATTCTGGCTTGCCAACCATCTTGAAAATTGAGTAGAAGGTTGAACACAGATTATTCCTCATTGCTAGCAAGCCTTCAAGTGTTACTGTTCCATGTTCCTCCCATGCTGAACATCTGAGCGTCTAAGCTCTTTCCAAGTTCGGGGCCTTTGCAGGCTGTTCCCTCTGCTCTCTTGTCCTGTATAACTTCTCAGGTCTCAATTTTAATATCTTTTCTATGGAGAAGACAAGAGCTTTTCAGATGGTTCAGTGGTAAAAAATCTGCCTGCAATGCAGGAGATGCAGGAGACATGGATTCGATCCCTGGGTTGGATCCAACCCAGATCCCTTGGAGTAAGAAATGGTAACCCACTCCAGGATTCTTGCCTGGAAAACCCTATGGACAGAGGAACCTGGCGGGCTATAGTCCATAGGGTTGCAAAGAGTCAGACATGACTGAGCTACTGAGCATGCACAGGGACGATTTCCCTAACTTTCTGTATTCCTCCCCTCTCTATCTGCACAGTGTTCTTTCTCCATTGAGCTTTCTCGTGGCACCCTGCTTTTTCACCAGTTCTCTATTTGCTTGTTTAGTCATTTACTGTTGTCTCCAACCACACTGTGAGGGCAGGGACATTATCTGTTTCGTTCGCTACTGGTTTCCCAGTACCCAGCAGCGTATGAGGCATGTGAATGCTTATAGCTTCTGGATGAGTAAAATTTCCACTAGCAGTAGGTTAGTAATATCCAGGAATGTTTCATTTTAGAGATGGAAAGACCTTAGAGGTCATGTGACTCTAATACCAGATCCTTGTTAATTGATAGCACTTTTGTTCTTTACAGTCTATTCTATGAGTGTGCACAATTTATTTATTCTTCTGGTAATTTGACATTTGGTTTCTTGCTGGAATAAACAATGTAGTTATCAACATTCTTATGTATGCTTCTTTGTGCACGTTTGCAACGATTTCCCTAGACCATATGCCCAGCAGTTGAACTACTAAGTAATAGGCTATGCATATCTTAATCTTTACAAGATAACACCACTTATTTTCCAGAATGGCTGAACCAATCAGCACTCCCAGTAGCTGTGTCTGAGTGTTCCTGTTACTCCACTTCCTTGGCAACGTTTGATTTGAAAAGATTTCTTAACATTAACTGATCTTGTAGGTGCAAAATGGTGGTTTCAATTTTCTTAAATCCCATCTGTTTATGCCAGAGGTTGCAAACCAGCTGTGCATGGGCTGAATGAGACCTGCAGTCTGGATGGTATCCATGGATGTGTTGTGTTTGATTGAAGGGTGTTTTTGAACCGAAAAAAAAAAAAAGAATTAGTTGCCAATATTTGAAAATTGGAAGGTTTCACTTAAGAATCTGGATTTCTGGTATTTTTTTTTTTTCTTGATGGAAAAATGGGACAACATCAGTGCACAGAGCCCTTATTCACACCTGACAATGACTGGCAGTAGTTGAGAAGCAGCTGCTTCTGCTTGTCAGGCAGGGGATGTACTTTGAAAACTGGCCAGAGTTTTATAGCCAACCTATATCTTTTGGTTATCTTGGCTTCCTGGCCCCTGTAGGTTTTTTAATTGTCTGGCCTGTTTTGAGTCTTCATAAATAAAGAAAGCCTCAGAAGTGGGGTAGTGGTAGGGAGTACCCCCTTCACCCAAGTTAGACCTGGAAGAGCCCTGCATAATAGAACCCTGAACACATGGTTACAGATAAAAACTAGAACAATCACTGAGCTGATGGCCACTTCTTCCCTAAAACCTCTCCATTCATCTTCCTGTGCTCTATGCTCCCCCTTCTCCTACCCCGTTCTCCCATGTTATCTTTCTTGGCTCTGAAGTTTCTGAGCCTTTTGGTCTGCATTCCTTTTGAGCCACCTATTTCTTTTCACCATACATTATGGTTATTTGCATACTTGCCCTCTTTTCCTCTCTTTGGCTGAAAACTCCTTAAGGTTTGGGACCATGTATTTATAGGTCTGTCATTTTAATTTTTGTTATTGTTGTTGTTTTGTTTTCCATAGTACTTTATAGTGGTGGCTTGCACATGGAAGTTTCATTCATTTCAATAATCATTTACTAAGTGCTCGTATGCCAGGCCTTGTGCTGGGCACTAGGACCATGAAATGCCATCATTGCCTTCAAGGGTGTGATAGCTCTCTAGGAGAAAGGACCATGTTTGTTCATGCATTCATTCACTCAAACAGTAGACTTATATGTAATGCTTACAATGTAATTACAACTTACATTGTAATGCTTACAATGGGCCAGGTGCTATGCTAGGTGCTGGGGAGCAAAAACAGACAAGATCTTTGCATCATGAAGCTTACACCCTAGTGAGGGAAAAGATATTCAGTTGCCTGTAACTCAAGAAGCTGACCTGGTCTGAGAGTTGCAAGGGGGAAGACAAAGTGAGACTTGAACTAAGAACGTCATGATAAGTATATGTGAAAGTCTTATGGTGGGAAGGAAGAGGCCCAGCTCACAGACCAGGAAGCAGAGTCCTTGCAGATGGGGCCTAGTTTTAGACACAGGGTAGTGAAAGATGAGACTGGAAATGGAGATAAGGGCTATACCCCAAGAAGAAATGAATGCAGTCTAGTGTCTAGATGCTAAAATTGACGTGCGTAGAATGGAGACATTCAGTTTTTAATTGAATTAATGCACAGGTAAGTGAATATATGGATGACTATTCTAGAAACTTACCATCTAGTACAGAGGATAGATAGGATGTCTAATAAACAGTTTATTGTTATTCTTTTATCAGGAAGGGACAGAATGGATGTTGAACATTTCAGGGACCTACAAATTCTACACTAGCTACAATAAGAAGAATGCCATGATCCTGGAGATTTATTAAAGATGGATGGCTCTTTGCCCTCACCCCTGACTAAAAAAAAAGGAATAGCCTTCCCCAGACTTCTGTCGTCCCTGAAAAGAGAACTGTTGCCTGTAGAGAATTAGCAGAAATAGGCCCATAATGAGCCCGCACTGAGTTATTGACAGCACTTGCCCCTTGACTGTAAGGAGCAAGTCGTGTTTCTTAGCTCTTGCCTTGCCAGTGTACCTTGAGGTTTCCGAGATAAACAATCCTAATAAGTAGGCTTTTCCCCTCCCTCTGCAGCGTTCAGGCTGACTGAATGCTTCCTGCCTCTGAGTTGATATTCTAGGGCATGCAGACCTTTGTCACGAATACAATTGAAGTCTAAAGCATCCTTGGGGAAACCTCCCCCTAGATCCAATACCACTCTTAAGAGTGGAGAAATTTTTTTCTCAGAGAATTTATTAAAGTTGATTCCTGAAAATTATAGCTAAGAAGTATAAGCCCCTGCTGCCATGTGGCTGGGTTGTTTATTTGTTCTGTTGTTAGTTTATCAGATATTAACAAAAGGAAGGTCCTA